AAACTTATAATTAAAAATATATATAATTTTACTATCAAAATACATAAGTAATAATCTTATTCTCATTTTTTACAATAAAAATGTGATTTACAATCTAACTATAAAGCATTAACTATTTTTATAATTCTTTAAAAAATTAATCTAGCCAATCAATGCGTTGAGGGCAGGCGCAACTAGTGTTTCTCGTTATAAAAATAGGTATTTTAATTTGTATTTTTTTTTATTAAATATGGTAGTTGTTTGGAGTATTTTTAATTTAGTTATCGGTGGGTCCCATAATGATGCCGCGTTTACGAATGAACCTAACAAACCCATAACTAGACTGACCCACTCCATTTCCGTTTCGGCTCTCTCTCGTCCTCGACTCCTCGTCCTCCCCACATTTTTTTCTGTTCTGTTCAAAAAAAAACTCTGAGAATTCTCTGAGAATTCAGCTCCACCATTCACCGGAGCTGAACACAACAATCCAATTCCTATTTCTCTGGAAAAATGCCCTGATCATCCCAAAATATCACCCAGGTGACTCTACCCCACCCTTCTTCCTCCATCCAAAACCCATGGACCGGGACGGTCCCATCCTTCAATTTGATAATGTGGTTGTTGTTGGCGGTGAATGCGCCGGCTGGGACGAAGGAGGTAGCGGTGGCGGTAGAGGAGGGAGCATTGCGGAGAGAAGGGCGGCAACCTGCGGCTTCAATGCGGAGAGAATAGGCAACTCCGGATTCGGACCAGGGTCACCGATGGTGGCGGGGTTTCCTTGTCTAACTATTTCCCCTGGTATCAGTCCCACTGCCTTGTTGGGATCCCCTGTTCTGTTACCCAATTCTTCTCCGGTGAGAATAAGGATATTGCTCTTTACATTATGCTCCTGGGTTTTGATTCTATGATGGAACTGCACCATTTATTTTTGGAATTTGGATTAAAATGCTGTTGAATGATGTGGGTTTTTGTTTGTCTTGGACCTCTGTGAGGATGAGTGAGGTAAGTTTTGGTCTTGGATGGAATTTAGTTGGGGGTCTTAACCTGCATTTGGTATTTTTCAATTAAAGGTAAATTCTTAGGGGATAATTAATAGTTTTTGTGGCAGCATTTTTATTTGGATGCGGCTCTAGTGTTAATCTCAAACATGTTACTCAGTATGAAACCAGTAAATTATTGGTTTTGTATGTAAATGGTAATTGGTTTTAATTTGAAGAATTTTTAGGAATTGATGGGAGTTAGATCAGTGATGTTTTGATTCTAAACTAAATTTGCAGTGTGATTATTGTATGAGGTTTAGAAATTGGCCTGGGCAATTACTATGAAGGTTAGTTTGTGCGTGGGGTTGAGGTTTAAGTGTAGATTTGCTGTATTCATTCATGAATCTTTATTTTGTTGGTTTGCTGGGCAGTTTCTGAGGTTCGTATGTGCTAGTCATTTATTTGTCTTTTCATTTGGTGATAAAGAATATCATGGAGTGGTGAAGGTTCTGGCTTAAATTTCTCATATATATTCTATACTACTTCTGTGTTTGCACAGCCATCTCCAACCTCAGGAACATTGCTGCCTTCCCTTCTCAATCATGATGGTGAAATGCTGAATTCTAAGATTTGTAGTGACGATTACAGGGGCAGAATTTCTAATTGTTCCTTCACATGCAAGTCTAATAAGGATGTGGTTTCTTTACCAAGTTTGTCTAGTTTAGATAACCAGGTAATTTCTGTTTATCATGGTACTATGAGTCATCTGTTGAGATAATTTTGATTACATGCTGCCCCAGCTAATTTTACCCAATTGACATATGTGCAAATAATTGTTTCCACATTCATTGATACACGAAATTCTAATAAATGCATCTCCATTTTTCTTTATTAAAATTCTGTATACTCAGATAGATCTAATAATGCAGGTTAGATTAGTGGCATCATTATATTAGGAAATAATGATTTAGGTAAGAGTTTAAGCTGTATGAGACTAAACCATTTTTAGTCAAAATTGAAGACCTTCTACCAAAGGACGAAAATCACAGTATGGTCGACAATAGCATAACCTAGAATTCAATGTTTCATTCCCAAGTTTCTTGTCTCTTTTAGTTTTCCTTTTAATTTTGTCTTATCATCTTTAGAGTTGGAGATTATATTTATTATGAAGTCTAGAACTAGAAGTTTAGTTTTCTTAGGAAAATAATTAGGAGACAACTTTTGTGTACAATTTTTTCATACAACCTTACATGTCATTGAATGGTGCTCTTTTCACTCTATTGGAACTTTGATATTGTACGCATCTATTCATTTAATAACATGTGGAAGTTGTAAAGAAAAGTTGTAGATATAGGTTGTCTGCATATATTATCCTTTTTCTTATGATATTGGGCTCCGTTTAATTGGAAAGTGGGTTTTTGGTTTTTATTTTTTTATATTTAGTAATTAATTTTATATTTAGATTAAATATAGTAAACTCTGATTTCTTATAGTAAACTCTAATTTCTAAATATAGTAGTAGTTACTAAATAGAAAAAATTGAAAACTGAAAACCCATGTTCCAACTAAATAGAACCTTAGTCTTTTACGGTGTTCTCTTGTAAAGATTAAAATATTTAACCTTTATTTTCTTTATTTGATAAATTGAGCTTTTCTATTTTTTTATAGTCTTGTTTTGTATTTTATTCTCATTTTTACTTTGACATTTCATCTACAAGCCTCTTCAATGATGATATAACTGCAAATTATGTAAATAAAAATCAAAGTAAGATTGACACCTGGAAAGCTGAAAAGTTAAATGTAACAAATATTCTTTTGATTTTCCTGGGTTAACTCTTCAAATAAACTGATATTCTCTGTTGTAACTACTAATGATGAGTTGGAGATCAATGTTCTAATTATCTCAGTTGTTTGTTTATGCCAACACTGGCATTGGGAATGGGTCAATTTTGAACCTCTTCCAATGCAGTACAGTTTCTTAGGTTTGGTAAACAGAAGCCTACCCCTGATAGTTCCTATTTTATGCGGCTTAATGGGTTTCAGTTGGATATTTTAATAGCCAAGTATTGTAGCATGTCTTTTAACATTGACATGCAGACCAACTCAGATGTTGTTTTCAGTAGAACATGGTTCCAGCTTCCAATAAGCAATTGATTTGGTTAATGTAGGTTTCTTCTCCATATCCTGTTCAGAAAGCTGAGGTTGAATATCAACCTCCTGCTTCTTTGGAATTAGATTTTGAATTTCCCACAGCATTCTCAAAAGAAGCCATCCCAAGCAGCCCTGCAGTTGATTTAGTTGCAAATGTCAAAGGTTTTAGCAACACTGTGAGTGATAATTGTTGTAATCTGGGATTTTCTAGTCCTGAGGTGGCCAGCGGTCAAATGTGTACACCAAAGGAAAATTTTAGTGGAGAAGATGCCAACAAACATCTTTTGGATTGTGATCAGAAAGGAACAAACCCTTCAATGGAAATGATAACAACATCTGAAGATGGCTACAATTGGAGAAAATATGGACAGAAGCAGGTAAAAGGTAGTGAATATCCAAGGAGCTATTATAAATGCACCCATCCAAATTGTCCGGTGAAGAAGAAGGTAGAGCGTTCACTTGATGGGCAAGTAACAGAAATTATCTACAACGGTGCCCATAATCACCCAAAGCCTCAGCCTAATCGTCGAGCACTAATTGAATCCACACTTTCATCTGATGAAATGTTAGAGATGGCTGAAGGTGGCCAAATTTATGCTGAAGATAAAGGTGGCTTGGTTTGGAGAAATATCCAGACAGGATTCAAGGATGCAAAACCTGTTTCTGAATCTTCTGATTGGAGAACTGATGGTCTGGAGAGGACATCCCCAACTTCTGTTGTAACTCATGCTTCTGATCCATTATCAATGACTGAAGGAAAATCTGTTGGTGTGGTTGAATCGGCTGAAACTCCTGAATTTTCATCTACTCTTGCTAGTCATGATGATGATAATGATGATAAGGTCATCCAGGGAAGCATGCCATTTTTCAATGATCCCACTGATGATGACGAGTCTGAGTCAAAAAGAAGGTGTTTCTTTAGTTCATGCCGTTAATCATCATATAATAATATGTATAATTTTCTTATCCACTTTTTATTTCAGGAAGACAGAAAGCTGCTCGATTGAAATGAATTTGTCATCAAGGGCTGTCCGTGAACCAAGAGTTGTTGTCCAAATAGAAAGTGATGTGGACATACTTGATGATGGGTACCGCTGGAGGAAATATGGACAAAAGGTTGTCAAAGGAAATCCTAATCCTAGGTACTAGAATTTCTCTGCTGTGCCTCTTTCCTCAGTCTATGCCTACATATGGGATGAATCATTCAAAGGGATAAATAACAAAGTGTTAACTTAAAGAATGGGATGTTTTACTTATTTTACTTTATTATTATTATTATTTTTATTTGTACTTGTTTAATAAGGAATGAAGTTTATGTTATTCATTCCTGAGATTTGCATAGATGGCAATTTATCATTATCAGGTTGCATGCTTTATTTTGTAAAGGTATTTGTATAGTTCTATTATTAAATTTATCTTCCTTGCCTCTTATAGGAGCTACTACAAATGCACTAGTTCTGGATGTTCTGTAAGGAAGCACATCGAAAGAGCCTCTGACAATATAAAATGCGTACTCACAACATATGAGGGAAAACATAATCATGAAGTTCCAGCTGCCAGAAACAGCACCTCAACCATTTCCAACACTCAAACAAACCCAGTGTTGCCTAGAGATACCAGTGTTCCCAAGCCTGGAACACAGATTCCTGGTATTGTGAATCCCTTCAATCGAAAGCCTGAATTTAACAATGGATATCCAAGACCAACTTTTCTTGGAAATTTCAGCAACGAGATGAAATGTGGAGCCTCCCCCATTTACCAAATGAAGTTCCCTCCGTTGCATCACGTCTCTCCTTACAGCCCTTTTGGACCAAACTCTAACTGTTCAGCTCACCCTGTTAGTTCACTTGGCATGGATTTTTCAATTCCATTGTCATTGAGACTCCCACAATCTGCAAATTTTCCCCTGTCAAGATTTGATGTTAATAATGGAAAACCAGCTATCCCAGGTCATTCTTTCCTTCAAGGTCAACAGTTAAAGGAGAATGATGTACAATTCCTCAGGCCTAAACTGGAGAAAAAGGATGATAATCTTTATGATGCTTGCTATCCCATTATGGATCATGCAAATGAATCATCATTGTCATCATCAACAGTTTATCATCAGGTCAGAGGAAATTTTCCACCCTAGAAAATCTCTCTCTGCTTTTAATCAGGGATTTTGGACTGAATTCTAGCCACAGTTCATCTCAGCCTCTTGGTTCAGTGGTTTTGGATTCTCTAAATCCATTTCTGTACAGACTTCCTACATATCTGCAAAACTTTCCATGGTGCGGATTTGGTATCAATAATAATGGAAAACCAGTTGTTCCGGCTTGCTCTTTTCCTTCAAGGGCCGCAGTTAAAAGAAAGCAATATCAAGTTGCTCAGGCCATAAACAGGAGAATAAGAAGATGATAATCTTCATGATGCTTACTTAATGCCATTACTTACCATGCAAACGCATCAATGCATCTTCACCTACATCATCATTGTTTTCTTCAATTTATCATCAGGTCAGGAATTTTTCCACCCTAGAGACTTTCTCTTTGCTTTTGAGCAGTAACAATAAAATGGATGTAGTCTTTCTCTCTTGTTACACTGCTAAATTTCCACTGTTTTTCTAACATATGAAAGTAAACAGTTTATAGTTCTCAACTTTGCCCTCAGAAATTTATCTTTACAGAAAATAAATTGATTATATCATATATTTGCTGATAAATTTTCTTTTACAATTGTAACTGCTTTTTATCAATCTCCATCTGTATGCAAGTCTGCATCCACACCACATTTTCATCTCTGCAAATGTGATTTCTCTTTACTTCACTTCCATGCTCTTTGATGCATTATCTTTGTTCAAGAAAGTATTGTAGAAAATCTTATGCTAAACTTCATAAGAACTATATTAACCCTTCACATTAGGTTGTTACTTGTGTGATTTCTTCTTTCATTGGAAGTTGCTTAAGTATTTAATTTTGTTTTCTCTTTAGTGCCTGGAGGATGTTGGTGTGCTTCAAAGCTTTGTACCCCTAAGGGTATTTGTTTGGTTTGAGGGGAGAGAATGAGAGAAAATTCCTTTATTTAGTTATCAAAAAAATTGGAGGGAAAATGGAGGGGAGAGAAGTCTTTTACTTTATTTTAACTTTATTTTTTTCTTTTAATGACCCTACTTATCCGAAGGAGGGGAGAGAGGGAGGTAGCCGTTTCCCTCAAACAAATGCTACCTTAAGTGTTTGAAATTAATTTTTAATAATTTTATGTTGTATAATGTTTATTTAACTTCTGAAAAGATATTCCTATCATAGTAAAAGCTAAAAGTTAAATCAAACACAATTTTAAGCATATTTTTAACTTGTGACAAGGTATATTTAGTATTTTTTTATTAATTTGTAAAAAAAAATAAAAATTAATTTTAATTTTTAACTATTAAATTAAAATTATTCTCGTGACATTAGTATTGAAAATAAAGGTTATTTTAATAATTTTTCATATTAAATTACAATAAATGCACCAATCATCATTGGTCAAAATTTTTTTTTTAACCTATGCTTTTGGAGCAAAGTTAATGTAAATTAATGTTAAAAATATACAATAAATACAAAACATTAATTAAAATTCTTTTTTTTTTTTTTTTTTTTTGATTCTTTGACAACATTATCAATTTTTAATAAGGATAAAAAGCAAGACCCCAAAACGTAGAGGTTTAAAAAAAAGTTATCCAATCATTCAAAGTGAAGTCGAGGCATTTGACACATCTCAAGTTGTTAATTTTTATTTTTTTTAATGTTGGATCCTTTATTAAACTCTTTTTCACCAATTTTATATTTTAAAATTTAAAATTTTAATATAAAAGTTCATATTTTGAACCAGTAGATCATGTCATAGGGGGCACCTAGGTTGTTAATGCTATACTAAATATTGTGTTTTTACTTTACCTTTTTATGTCTCTATAATTAATAGATTTTTAAAAGAGTTTAT